GGCCAATGCCAGGGAGCAAAGCATGCTGCGAGGAGGGCTGGCGGACTCCTGAACACCACGCTACAGGGCTTGGATTTTGTCCTGAAGGCAGTGAGGGGCCTTTGAACGTTTTCACGCAGCAGAGAGACAGGATCGAATTCATTTCAGAAAGATGCATCTTTCATCAGCGAGGAGGTGGATTGCAGCAAAGAGTCTGGCGTTAGGGAGACCTAAAGTAGAGGTAATAATGACCAGGCTGTCCCGTCGCACGTGGTTATCCAGGAGACGGGACATGGGAGAGGCTTTGAAAAGTTAAATTCTCGGTAAGGATCAGAAGTAGGTTCTCCGGAGTCCCCACTCCTTGAGGGCAATAAGCCGAGGCGGTGCCATGGGGACTGCTCCACAGGGAGAGCTGGGCGGGAATGGTGGTGACGCTTGGAAACCCTGGGAAGAAGCAGGCCGGCTCTCCGGTCCCTCGCCTGCGCTTGGCTTTCTCCCTCCCCCCCTGCCAGTCCGTCGCCACTGTCACCTTCTTAGTGAGTCCTTCCTTGACCTCCCGATTTAAAAATGCAATCTTCCAACACTTCCCATCCTCTTTCCTTGCTTTCTTTTTTTCCAAAGCACTCATGATCTCTAACATACTCTATATTTTACGTATTTTCTATATTTTCTGGCTCCTCCTACCCCTCCCTGAAATGAAGGCTCCATGAAGATAGGACTTTTTGTCTGTTTTGTTCACAGCTGAATCTCTGGTGTCTAGGACAGTGCCTGGCCCCTAGCAGGCACTCAATAAATATTTGCTGAAGGAACAAATGAATTCCTCTTGCCTGCGTCCTCTTAAGCACATCCTTTCTATCTTTCTTGCGGGTCTCATTTTATTGTGCCTCGAATGATGGCCAGTCACGTGTCTGTCTCTATTCCTTTCCTCAGCTCTTCAAAAGCAGAGAATGGCATCCTGCCATAGACTGGTGCTCAATAAGTGCTGATATTAATGAATCTGTTGATAAGGGAAAGCTTAGGAAACTTAGTGTTTCCCCAAAAGAGAGTTTTAACCTCAGATGCAGAGGCCAGGCACTGGGGATGTGGACTGCAAGTGGTGTTGCCTGTAAACTATTAGGACCTGGCACAAAATAGTTTATCAATATGTTAGCTTCTATTGCTTTTAAAGTTTCAGCAGCTCGTGTTCAGAGTTGTCCTCTTTCCTGGGGCCATGGCTGTGGTGACATTTTGTTCATTCATGCATGCATGATTTATTTATTGAGCACCTACCTCTGAGGACACGGGATTGATTTGTTTTGGGATTCCTGAGTCCTTGTGTCCAGGGCCCAATGGCTCTGCCTCCCGGATGTTCTCAGGGAGGATCTGCTTCCCCCGTCAGGAGGGGAAGGGTTTTCACACCTAGTTTAAGTTAAGGAACCCACTGAGTTCTGCACAGCCTCCCAGCCTGCACTGTTCCTGCCTCCAGCCTGTCCTCCCCCTGCCACTAGACAGAGCTTCCTGAAGGTTGCCTTCTTCCTGTCACTTCCTGCTCAAGAACCTACAAAGGCTCCCATGACTCCTACATCTGGACTGCACTCTCCTCTAGGTTTTCAAAGCCAGCGTAATTTGGCCGCGCTCTTAGCCAAATGGACTTCCACTGCTAGTCCTCCCCAAGCCCTAGCTCTGCGTAGCGTGGTTCCCTCCCTGGTCCGCCAACTGCCCATATTAGTTCTTACCTCTGACTCTGATGAGCTCCAGGTCTTCCCTGCACCACCAACACCCTCATTGCTCCCCCCTGTTTTGTGAAAGCTTTCTCAACCTATGGGGCCTGCCCCATGGTGCTAGCCCTGACCACGTGAGCAGCACTGATGTTTCTCTTCTGAGCACCTTTTATGCCAGGCATTGGTGGCAAATTCAGCTTGTTTTCTGGTTCGATAGTTCTCAGGCTTACTCAGGTGGCAGAGCACTTGGAACCCTGGTGTTCTCTGGGGACATCATGGCCTATTGATGTGTTAAATTTCAAAGCGCAAAGTCTGCACCATTTTACTTGTTGAAGATTACCTCATGTGTGATCATTATTAACCAGTGACTCTGAACTGGGAAATAAATAAGTTGTCAAAGTAAGTGAGTTTGGCCATTTTCTTATTGATGTGTTCCTATTAATTTTTCCTTGCTCATTTGTTTTGCTGATCTAGCTGGTTATCAGGAGTGGATATCAATGGTTTAAGAAAATGTAATAGAAGGAAAAAAAAAACCCCTGAAATTTGGGATCATTCTGTTTATGAACTTATTTTTCTCTTGTACATCAAGCAAACACTGCTATTTTATTTTCTACCAGTGAAAATGCCTTTGTCTGGCTTGTTCCTTGGCAGCAGGGTCAGACTATGAACTCCATGAGGGCAGGGACTTTGGCTGTCTTATTTACTGGGATAGCCCAGCATCCAGCCCAGGGCCTGGCACATGGGAGGCACTTACAGTCTTATTGAATGAATGAGAGAATGAGTAACTAAAGGAATGAATTGGAGAATCATTGCTCTTGGAGTTTTAGGATTGTTGGCTCTGTTTCCCCAGAGACCAGGCCTCCTACTTCTAGAATGAATCCTGGGACTTATAGTTCCCTAATATGTTTGTTGAATGATGAGTGGATGAGTGGGTGGGTGTCACCCACAGCACTTAGCACTTGGTGGTGTTGGCGAGGGCCATACAAGAGTGGCTTAGGATCTACCTGGTGACTGAAACTCAGAGGCTGAGGTGGACAAAGGAAAGCAGGACCTGTGCTTACCGTGGCTGTTCAGGGGTTGATTACTGTCAGGCTCCTGGAATTGAAGGAGAAACAGTCAGTGAGCCGAGTGTGGGAACCTCTCGGGCTGGGGCTAGCAGCCTAGGGGAGGTTCTTGGTTCTTGCCTGCATTCCCTTTTCCCTGCTGAATCTCAGCTGGGAGGCTCTGTGATATCCACATAATTGGTTCAAAATGAAAAATTTAGTTTTTGGCACCTATTTGACCTGGTTCAACTAGTTTATTAATTATAACAACTAGTTAGCAATTGTAGAAACAACTGGTTGCTGGGTTGTTGTGTGTATTGCAGAATTCCTCAAGATGATTCTACTGTATTGTCCATTTTTGTCAAAAATTTGTCTATTTTTATAGATATTATATTTCTTTAAAAAATCGGACACTTCACAAAAGAGGATACCCAAGGGGCCAATGAGTACCAAAAGATGCTTAATGTCATTTCTCATCAGGCAAATGAAATTTCAGACGTAAACACCAGAATGGCTAAAATTAAAAAGACTGACAATACTAAGTGTTGATAAGGATGTGGAGCAACTAGAACTCTCACATGTTGTTGATGGCAGTGTAAATTGGTACAAATATTTTGGAAAATGGGTTAGCTAAATCTACTAATGTTAAACATATGAATATTCTATGATTCTATGACCCAGCAATTCTGTTCCAGGATATAGCCAAGAAAAATAATTGCATATGCCTAGCAAAAATCCTGCACATGATGGTCATAGTCACTTCATTCATAATAGCTAAGCATTGGAAAAACCCCAGTGTCAATCACTGGTGGAGTAGATGGTATATTCATATAATGGAATATAATTCAGCAATAGACATGAGCAAACTAGTGCTAAATGCAATGACAGGGATGAATTTCATAGGTACAGTGAAGGAAACAAACCAGGTACAAAAAAGTACACTCTGTATGATTCCATTTATACAGCATTTGAAAGGTAAAGTTGGTTTATAGTGATAGGAGCCAGAACAGTGGTTACTAGTGAAGTTACCAGAACAGTACTCCCTAGTGAGGGAGGTGGGGCAGTTATTGAAAGAGGCACAACAGAGCCTTCTGGAATGCTGGAAAACTTTAGATCTGTTCTAGGTGTTGGTTACATGGGTGTTTATATGTGTAAAAATTCACTGGGTGGTAGACTTTAGATTTGAGTGCTTTACTCAATGTATGCTGTACCTAATAAAACAGACAAACAACGAAAACCTAGCAGAACACTATGGTACTTCTGAGTGTTGTCTTAGGTTGCCACGGACACATGTACACAAGTATACACAAAGGCACTTCTGCTTGCTCACACCACTTCACGAGTGCACTCAGCGCACACACAGCCACATAGAGTCACGCGCAGGAGCCACTGACACAAAGGCTTCCTGCCTGGGAAAGGTTAAAGGGAGCATGCTGTACATGTTCATGCTCCCTGAACCCTCCTTCCCTCACTCTGTTGGGCCTCCCAGAAACCTTCCTTCACTCTCTTCCCTTTCCCAGTCTGGCATGGGATCTGGAATCCCTGGGCTGGGTGAGTAGCAGCTCGGCCTGCGGTCTAGGTCTCCACCCAGGGACTTACCTGCCCTGGTTGTTCTGAGGTCATGACCAGCCTTGGTGGTGGCTGGGGGAGGAGCATTTTCCAGCAGGGAATTTTTCCAGTCCCACTTGGGAGTGAGAGGGCCTCTTCTAACCCCTGGGTAGGTGCCCTAGATTAGATATGAGGGGTCCTAGGGTGCTGCCTGCTCCCACGGCTAAGCACGGTGGACACAGCGATTGGGAGGATGAGCTCCTCCCTTTCCTCCCAAACACAAGCCTGTATCTGCTGGAGGGATGTGCCCAGCCTTGTCCTCCGATGACACTGGGGAATGGGTGTCCCAGTGGAGGCTCTGGAGTCTGCAGGGGCTCAGTTGAAATATAGGCCCTGCCTCCTATCAAATGTGTGCTTTTAGGCAAGATCCTTAACCTCTCTGAGCTTCAGGCTTACCCTCTGTAAAGAAGGAAAAATAGCACGCCCTTCCAAGGGCTCCTGTGAGGTTGCATGAGCTATCTGGTGGAAAGTGCCAGGCTCACAATGGCATGCCCTTCCCTCCGCCCTCCCATCCTCTGACCTTCCGCAGCACTCGGTGCAGGTCTTTAGCACAACACTTCTCTCGATGGACAGCCACTGTTTTCCTTCTCTCTTTTTATTTTTGGTTGATTTTCTTTTTTTGCTAACTTAAAATTCTATTTTTAGTTGACAAGTAGTAATAGTATTAGCCACTCTCTCTCATTGGCTTTGTCCCCTTGGTGTTTAGCATGGGGCTTGGACCAAATAAAGACTCAGTGAATGACGGTGAACTGGGCTGAACTCTGGGCTGTGCACTGTGGCTGGTTCTTAGCTGTCTCTCCTCCCCCGTCACCAGGGCTGGAGGGAAGGGACTGTTTCCAGGCCGAAGACGAGAACGAATCAGGCGGCTCTGCACTGTTGCGCCTGGAGTCAGGTGGTAATAATACCAACAGTGGTTCACACACGATGGGCATGAAACAGTCTGCAAAGTCCTTTCATCTAACTCGGTCAAGTCAAGGGTGAAAAGGATTGATGCCAGTTGTCTGAAAACCAGGATGGGTAGCATTAAACGATTAATTATTAAACTAAACAAATGTTTATAGAGTGTCTACATCAGACCAGGCACTACTCCAGGAGGAGCCGAGGACAATCAAGAAATAATCCCGTAAGAATGGGAGTAGTGCCCAAACAAGACAGCTGAGCCCCCCGCCCCTAGAAGTTTGCATTTCAGGGAAAAGGGGGAGGGTCTAGGGGAGGGGGAGGATGGGCCATAAACAGATAAGCCAGAAAAGGTAAGAGAGTGGTGGGTGCTATGCGGAGAGTAATGTGGGGTGAGAGGAGACAGTGCCTGGATGGAGACCGAGACTGGGAGGTCGAGGCAAGGGGTCTGGGTGTTTAGGGAGAGCCTCTCTGGGGAGGTGACACCTGAACTGGGACTTGAGTGACAAGAAGGAGCCAAGCAGGCAGGAACAAGCTTGGGGGGTGGAGGAACTGGATAGAGATCGGCATGGCAGGAGCCAGGTGAGGACTTGAGCAGACAGAGGGAGGTTGGTGGTAGAGAGACTCCACATGTGCTTGGAAGATGCAGGCAATAGGTCTTGCCCATGACCTGGATGCACCTGGGTTTTAGTTGAGCAGGTGAGAGGGTGTTTGCTGAGCTGTGGGAGGCTAGAGGAGGGGCTGGCTGGAGGGACACTAAAAGCATCCAGGAAATAGTGGGCCCTTCCCCGTCCGTTCACTCTTTCCCGCTGAGTCCGCTTGTGCGTGCACGCCTGTGTTCGTTTCGGTAGTAGGGCAAGTTTCTTTTGTTTGTTATTAAATCGACAAATATTGACTGCACACCTCTGATGAGGCCAGAATTGTGCTAGAAGCTGAGGCACAGAGGGAACAAAGGAGGCTTAGAGTCTGCACTCTCTGGGGCCTTGGATTCCTCACCCCTGAGCTGAAGTGACCCCAGCGCCCAGCAGTGGCTAATGTTTTCACTTGCGATCCACTGAGGAGTGGTTGTGGAAGAGATTCCACGTCTGTTTGAAAACAAAAGAGAGAAAGAAAAAATACACCAAATCAAAACCGTAAGCTAGAATGACAGGGACTGTGGCTGTCCTGTTAATCACCGCACCCCCGATGTCTCCTACAATGCGTGATAGTGAGTGTTAAATAAATATTTGTGGAATGAAAGAAGTAATAAACATGTCTCAGTTTTGGGATGCAATCTCAGGCCAGCTTTTAAGAAGCTGACTGTGGCATAGTCACACAATGGAATATTATGCTGCAGTCAAAACAAATGAACTACAGCGACACAAAATAATACGGATGACATTGGCAATTTAATATTCAGGGGAAAAGTAAGTCCCAAAAGATTACATATAGTATAGAATTTTTTTCATAAAGAAGAAGGGGAATGATGGACATGGGATTCAGGATGACGCTTACTGTGGCAGGGGGCTTCTAGCACAGCTCCAGCCTATCAAAGATGTGCAGTCAATATTTGTTGAATTAATAAACAAAAGGGACGTGCCCATCTACCTCAGCAGGAGCGTGAGGGTGTGTGTGATGTCGGGGGGGGATCCCATGGTTAGATGCAGGTTATGGTTAGGTCCTCGCTTTTGTTGGGGTGGTGGGTTTATGGAAGTTACATTTTACTACACGGTTAAAGCCAACTAATTTGCTAGTAAGTTACAAATGGGCCCTGCAGGGACCACTAGTGAAAAGTGTCATGAATAAAGATTATAATTCATTCAATGCTATGCACCCAAGGTTCAAAGAGAAAATTTAAAAAGCTGTCACCTGGCTATGCTGGGTGCTTTGAGGAAGTCAAACTCCTGTCGTCACCGGGATCTGCCTTTACTATCATGCTGCCTGGGTTCTTCCATTCAGTGGCTCATTCTTTGGCTTTCCTTGAAGCTCTTTGGCAAACATCTCTGACACAGACAGTTCGGAAATGATGGGTTGTTAAACTTCTGGGAAGGGGAGCTGCTGAAGGCCGTGGTTATCTGGGCCCATGGGCAGGGAGGCTGGCACATTTTAGGCCTGTCAGTGGCTATTGGGGACCGTCAATGTCGATGGCATTCCTGAGCAGGATAGAAACAGGGACTTACAGCCAACTGAATCCTCTCTTAGCCTAGAAGCAATCCTGAGCTGAAGAAAGGAGGAAATGGGGTGCTAGGTAGAATTCAGAGATCCGGTCGGCCCCCTCACTGTGGTGGGTCCCTGTCACGATCACAGGATGCAAAAGCTAGAAGGGTCTCTAGAGAATATCCCAGGCAACTTCCTCACTTACAGAAGAGAAAACTGAGGCCAGAAGGAAGTGTCTCGCCCTGGAGTTAATAGAGGGAAGAGGGAAGTTGTGAGGCCACCATAGACCAACTGTATTTCCTTCTGCTTTGCTGGAGATGTCTTTGTTTAACCCCAACTTGAACTCAGCCCCTGGCCACAACAGCCCAGCCCACGCGCAGGCATTGGCCATGGCCTTTTTGTTTGGGCCAT